CGGTCTGCAATGGTGAAGACGATTCGTCCGCTCCGCCTCTTCCGAGTCCTGAAAAATGATAATATTGGGGTGAGCACAACGGCTCAATAGGAATTGTCTAAAACGCACTCCTTAATGACCTCGTGAATCCAAACGAAGAATGGTATAAAGAAAGAGGGATCATATTTATTTCGGGATAAAACATATCATCACATACAAACCACACATCACAAATACAATGTTATGCAACTTCATGAAATGAAATGTCACTCCCTAATTCCAAGCCTTTTTCCCAAAACAGTTTTCCATTCTTTCAAAATCACTTTCTTTCTTTCCCAAAACAATCTTCACTTTCCTCACACCATGCTAATGCATGAATGCATGAATGTATATGCAATATAATGTCATGAAGTTCCATGCTTTCGAACCTTAACACCATAACAAGCTTAGAAAAGAATTCAACACTACAAGTAAGAAAATATTGTCACCTAACACATAAGCATTTTACTCAAAAAAAATCATGGTACAACATACATTGAACACCAATTTTCACAACAACTCACATAATCACAACATTCAACACATTTCATTACATATTACATGGAGATCATGCTCAAAATTATACAATAAGCATGTTAAATCCCAATTAGGAGAACAATTCACAAAAATCCTAGGAGTATTTGCGGTTTAGAAACCCCTACCTCGAGGAAGCAAGCCAAACAAGCCCTAAGCTTCCCAAAATTTTGAAATCCTTTCAAGCCCTAGTAAGATTGATATCAAATGGAAGCCCTCTCCAAGTGGATCAACTCTCTCCTTTTGATTATCACCAAAAACTTAGCTTAAATCTTCCAAAAATGGCTTAGAAGCATCATGCAATATAGATATATATAAATATAGAAAGAGAAAATAAAACTAGTGAGAGAGAGAGAAAGCCTCGGCCGAATTGAAGAGGAGAATTGGGTTGATTTTTATGAAATTAATTCCACAATCCTAAGAGTGCCCCTGGTCAAAAGGTGTGTGTTGCAACTTTTTGGTTAGTTACTCTTTTACCCATCTATAACCACTAAAACTTCCTTCATGTCCCAATAAATATCTTCTACAATGCAAGGATGCAGGTGTATGCATAAATGTGTAAAAAGACTACAATGCCCTTCACTTAAATGAGAAAACCGTGAGAAGTTCTCGAGTCTGAAAATCGTTCAGATTTCCAAAAAATTCTAAAAATGATATTGTCACTCCCAATTGACTCAAAATGATTAAAAAAAAAATTTCAAAACCCTCGGCTTAAGGAAATGACCAAAACGATCCTTGGGACCCGCGTGGCACGCAAAACGAGATAAGGATTAAAATAATCCAAATAAACCAAATAAATTCCTGAAAATAGAAAATAGGAAAATCGGTAACATTACATTCCGCGTTTGTGGGCATCACAAATTGGAATAAAACTCCTTGCCGGCTATGTACGATGATAATGGCCGCTATAAAATACATTGATAACAAACCACCTAAGTTCCTAACCTAACTACCAAAAATATGTTATATATATATATAGAGGTGTAGTTATATATGGAGGATTTTGGACTGTGAAAAAGTTTATATGGGAGATTTCATTATCACAGAGGGTGGACCATGATAGGTGAAGCTTATTTTATTATTTTATTTTTGGTGCTAGTTAAAGAATTATTATTTTTATTTTGTTTTATTTTATTTTTGGTGCTAGTTAAGCCAACACAATTGGATTTGGTTTCTTCCACATGCTATAATTTGATCCAGTGCTACAACTCTAAATTAAAAGTGCAAAGAGGATGGCGGGATGTAAATCAATGTTCAAATATATGATCAAATTAAAACTGTAAAGCTGGGTAGTTCAATATTTAATCTACTAATATAAATATCATTTTTTTATTTATTTAAAATTCATTCTTATATCTTTTTTAGATGAATTAGTTGTGAACCCCTTAAGGAATGCACTTATAATGTAATTGATCATGTTAATGTGGAAAATTAGAATATCCAAGTCCTATTGTATAATGCCAACAGTAATTAAGATAATTTCAGAGTTTTAAGAATAACTACAACAAGTGCAGGTTATTGCCAACAAAAAATTGGTATCAAAGTGATTCCAACAAAAGCTAGAGCTATCATATATGCACTAATGTAATAATAAATGGGGGTAAAACCGTAAAAGTGAAAAAAAAAAACATCCATAATGTTTACATTTTGGGCAAATAACACTCCGAAGGCAAACTCTCATCCTTACCGGACGGCAAACACCAATAGATTCAGACCCTTCTCATTAGTTGCCATCACCGGTGATAGCAAATTAACGACACCGCCATCTATATGCACCAGACCCTTCTCATATGTTGCCATCACCGGTGACAGCAACGACACCGCCTTTTACATGCAGCAGACCCTTCTCATATGTTGCCATCACCGGTGACAGCAACGACACCGCCTTCTATATGCACCATCATTAACGGCGTCCCGAGCTTGCCGTCCTTCACCGTCACCAATAGTCACCAAGGTTTGTGATGTGGCTTTGTTTGATGACACACTCTGCTAACTCAACAAAATGGTAGAATATGAAGAGAAAAGGGCAAATTAGGGTTTTTCTAATTTATTTTGGGTCAATTTTGACCAAAAAGTAGTTAGAGGGGCTTATTTGTAAATTTTTAAAAATTTTATGAACAAAATGCACATTTTAAAAAAGGAGGGACTGTTTATACACAAAACCGATGTTAGAGGAGATTTTTTGCACTTAACCTTTTTCTTTTTTAATTTCTTTGTATACTTGTTGGATAAGGCATTCTTGAATTTTGAAAGAATCCCAAAGTTCATATATTCTCGAATTTGTGGGTCTCACTCACATGGGGATGGGATTGACACTGAATGCTAAGATCATAACTCATAAGGACCGGTACCTTTCTGGATTTTCTAAATAGATTGATGACAAATTAATTACCTATTGAAAGTATAGGTATTGTAGAAATTGAAAACAGGCTGTATTGACTTATATATGTATATTGCATTCTAGAAATTTTGGACTCGGAGTCATTTCCCGTATCAACCGGAACTTCTACATTTCAATCAAACTAACAAACTTGAATTAAATTCCAGTCCCGTGATTTTAGAACAATGCATTGTAGTTCAGAGTTAGTTTATCCTTTGTGTCTATTTTGGATAGCTAACCATAGCAGAAAAAAAATGTTTGTGAATTGATTGGGAACACAGCAAAAAAGTGAGAGATGCTTGTGCGTATACAGACAGATGCATGTATTTCTGCACATACTCATTACAAAAAGTGGATCCATTTTACAATTCATTACAACAATAGCAAGACTTGATCCCAAAGTTCAGATACTCCCTTCTTATTTAACTTCTATAAAGGCCCATAGTGAAGCTAAAGTTTATCTTTTAAAACATTCAGATCCTGTGCGTCTAGATGGACCCAATCTACATTAATAATTGTTACAACAAACGCAACAAATCCAAGTAGTAATCAGAAAATACGACAAAAAATAAACACACCACATATAAAGAACACAAAGATTTAATGCGTTTCAATAAAACCTACATCCACAGGGAAGATTTCGTAAAAGTTTTCACTATATAAAATTCTATATTACAATTTTCAACCCTACCTCTCTCCTTCCCACTCAATTTTTTGCGATTTTCAATGTCTCTCCAATATCTCACTTCAAAATTGGCCTAAGCAACTCGAGGCCAATTATACCTGCAAAGAACAATTATTATTGTTGTTGTTGTTGGTGGTGGTGGTGGTGCTGCTGCTGCTCACCTTTCTTTAGAGCGACTGTATGGTAATTACACCATTATTTAGCAAGCAAGGCCAGTGAATGGAGTTTCTTCCACATGCTATAATTTCTGTGCTACAACTCTAAATTTAATTATAAAGAGGGTGGCTGGATGTAAATTAAGGTTTAAATTTATGAATTAGAACTGTAGAGCTAGGTAGTTTAATATTTAATCTATTAATAGAATTAATATTAAATTTTTTCTTTAAATTGTAGAAATTTTTTATTATTTAAAATTCATTCTTAAATCTTTTCCAGAAAAATTAGCTGTAAAACCCTTGAGAAATGCACTTATAATGTAGAACTACATGTTGAGCAATTCTATAAAGGTCTAATTTAATGAAAGTAGTTATTAATTATAGATGCTAGGAAGTAGTGCAGAGTTGCAATTAAGGAAATTAATGAATAATTAGCGAATCAGTGATAGTGAGTACAAGTGATCCTTGCATTCTCTCTTCCACCCTCTTCCTCTTCCTCTTTCTAAATCCCTCAACTTTGGAAACCCCTCTACAACAGCACTCTCTAATCAACATAATATTTAGAGTTTTAAAATAATTCCAGCAAGTCCTATCGATCAGTATAATGCCAACAAAATGGTACCAAAATAAATCCAACAAAAGCTAGACCTATAAATTGTACAAACAACGCCCTGAGTCCTGGCCCTGAGCCTAGAGCTGTACAAAACAAGCAACAAAAGTTCAGCCAGCAATTCAGAAAAAGCGACTCAATTTGTGTCATCAAATGCAGTTCTAGCAAGTAGATAGTCCATACCCAATCTTCCTTCGTGACCATTAGGACAAATGTGAAACTGAGTGAATATTCCATTCTAGAGCAATTTAATTTCCTGGACAAAACATTTTCTTTGGGCTAATAGAGGCAAGCTTCAGCCTAATGTTGTCTCTAATGGTCTTCAAAATCAAGCTTTATTATCTTTCAATTTCAGTTTTTGGGATTATGGCTTATTTTATTATTATTATTCAGTTTCTGTGATTTATTAGTCCTTTTTTTTAACATGTATTATGTAACAATTTTATGACAATAGAGTTGGGCAGAGCAGATCACCAAATTCATTTGTGCAATTGCCATCCCTAAAGGTTCTACTTATGCACAGGGCAACAAGACATGCTGTGAAAAGAATAGGCAAGTGTGAATAATCCTATATAAATACAACTTAATAGTATAAAGGCATGCTAAAACTTTTTAAAATAATTTATATAGAATTTGTATGAAAATTGAATTAACTTTCTTTATTTCTCCAGGAATGAGAACAAAAAAGAGAGAAAGATAATGGAGTTCAATACACCTCAATTACATGACAATCTTGAACTTGATATTCTTTTAATCAACTTACAGCGTATGCAGAAGAGATGCAGTTGCAGAGGAAGTTGAAGAAGATGTGGTGAACTTTGAGGAATCGGTATTGTAACTGTAGCTCGAATACTGGATTTGGTTACTCTCAGAGACAGTGGGATCAAAGGATAATGGAAATGAAGATATAGGTGCATTCACTGGATCAGGAGCAAAATATGTTGGTACAGGCATCTTTGATGGGAGAATGGGAAGTGGAGCTTCAAAATTAAGCACATGAATTGCTTGTCTTATTGAAGGTCTGAGATTGTAATCAGGATGAGCACACCACAGCCCAACAATCATCAAACATTTGATCTCTTGCTCATCAAAATCGGCACATAATTTTGGATCTGCTGCTTCAAGAAGCTTTCCTGTTCCATAAAGGTCCCAAACCCACTCCACCAGTCTTGATTGAGTTTCTATTGCCAGGAGATTAATGGGTTTTCTTCCACATGCTATTTCCAGTGCAACGATTCCGAAGCTGTAGACGTCTGATTCCTTACTAGACTTGCCCGTAATGACACATTCAGGAGCCATGTAACCCATTGTCCCTGCCAAAAGTGTTGTTTGCGATCCTTTTTCATGGTCAACAAGCCTAGCTAGCCCAAAATCTCCGACTTTGGCATTAAAATTTGAATCCAACATAATGTTGCTTGATTTAATATCCCTGTGTAGCACGCATTGTTCCCACTCTTCATGAAGATAAAGCAGAGCAGATGCCAAGCCGTGGACAATTTTGTACCTCATCGCCCATGTCAATAAGCTTTTTCCATTGAAAAGATGGGAATCTAAGCTCCCATTTGGCATGAACTCGTAAACGAGTAGTAGCTCATCCCTTTCGTGGCACCAACCAATGAGCTGCACTAGATTCTTATGCCTCAATCTACTAATGATCTTAACTTCTGATGCATACTCTTTAAGCCCTTGCTTAGAACCTCTTGACACCCTCTTCACAGCAACATAAGAGTCCAACTCCCTCAAGAAACCTCTATAAACCCCACCAAACCCTCCCTCTCCAAGCTTTTCTTCCTCATCAAAGTTGTTAGTCGAATGAGCCAATTCACTGTAGGAGAACTTCTTTGGTCCAATACCCTTCTCGAATTCATCATCCATGGATAGTTCAAAGACAAATTCCGCATCTTCTTCGTTTCCTCCACTCCTTTTCTTCCGCAAGCAAATGGCAATCAAACACAATCCACCACCCAAAAGTACACATGAGCCAACACTTAATCCCACCACTAGTGCTGTCTTATTTTCCTTGTTTCCTTTGGGGCTCATTGTCACCGACACCGGATCTGTTGATCCTGGACTTGGCCTCGGTGTCACTGGCGCTGGATCTGTTGAGCCGGGACTGGGGCTTGGTGTCACCGGCGCTGGCTCTGTTGAATTGAAACTCCATGATTTAACAGTATGCTTCTCATAAGAGGCCCCCGTTGAGGCCGAGAAGCCAAAGTCAACCCATTCTGGCAAGCACTTGCTCAGATCAACTTTGTGACTAAGGTTACCTTGTTGAACGATGCTGTTACCAAAATAACTAGTGAAGCCAACACTCAGAATTTTGGAATCCGAACTATAACTAATCCAAGCTTCATTTTCTCCCCCCTGAGTAATATTTCCATACCATATTGAAGTGTTAACAGAGCTCATAGACTTGACATTGATACCTACATGAGAGCTGTCCGGGGCGTACGGATCAAAAGTATTCGTGTAAGTGTCGAACTCGACAGCAACAAATGGAGTAGTGGTAGAGTTCATTGTCACATTGTCGACTGGAAGACCAAGGCCACTGCCTGGTGTGACAAGGATATCAGAATTGGAAATGTTTTGAACAAGGAAGAATGCGAGGCCATCGCCGTGGTTAACTGAGTCTCCTTCTGAATTGATGACAAAGGAGAAATGGGTTGTGAAATCTGCCATGTTTTGAGAAGCCTTGTCCCAAAGATGCAGTGGTTTCACATATGTGGCTCGGCCAACTTTGTCCGTTCGCGCTTGGCCGCGCTCGTCGGGAGTGACTTGGAGGCCTTGTTCCGTGATATAAGCATCTGGGTAGGCTTTTATGTTGACGTTTTGATCTCCGCCTGTGAGTTTAGGGATGTTGAAGTATAGTGGAGTTGCATGAGGAAAGAAAAAGATGATCATGAAGAAAATATAGAGAAGGGTGTTGGAAGAGTAGTACTTGCAGATCATAATGTCCATGGTGAGTTTGGGATTGTTTGATTAAGCTTGCAAATGGATAGGCTTAGTGTGTGTGTGTGTATATATATATAATATACACATATGAAATTATATATTGATTAATTATTACGGTAGACCAACAAGTGTTGAGATTTGTTGAATCAGTCTTTGTACACCTTTATCTTCTGCTAAAGAAACTTCTTCCTTTTTTCTTTTTCATTGCGCTATTTCTTTGTTAAGAAACAGAAAAGAAGAAGAAAAGGAGATGTCATCATGATTCGAAACAGCGCGGTCCGTCGTGACGGCTTTCCGTAACTCTTTTGACAGTATCAAGAAGGATCCGTTAGTGTGAATATAACTCTTTTAAGTGTGAATTTGCATTAGAGTGAATGATCCATATAATTATAAAGTAATCGGACTTTGGATTATTCGGCATTGACTAGGCTATCCCAAGTCAACGCATCAATTCCACCTGAATGGTTTATGATCTTAGCAGGTGCATTTTATAACTAGTACAATTATTACGCGAGTAGTAGGTTGATGACTTGACCTCCACTTGACATATTGACAAGCAAAATAAAAAATATAAATAAATAAATTTAATGAAATTGAATTTCATTGGTAGGTACTGATTATCCAACATTTTTCAAGCTGGACTTGGCCCACTCATTAAATTGAAGACGCCATGGTTGAATTGTGAAAAAACAGAAAAAGAAAAATACAATTATGCCCATTTGAAGCAGCTGATAGGTCACTTGCTAATGACTTTGGGGGAGGACCTATAACCGACCCTGATGCTAAGGGTTAGTTTGGTGGGTTAAAATGAAATAAAAGAAGGTGAAATGAAATGATTTTTTATTTTATATTTTATTTTTGTGTTCGTGTTTGATATTAATTTTAAAGTTAAAATTATTATTAATTTCTGGTTGCAATGACTACTACTACTTCATTGTATGTGAACATCCTAGGTGCCGCTGAGCTTTCAAATTCGTCGTCCATGGCTGCTAGCACTGGACGCTCAGGAGCGTCTTCCTTCTCCCTCTTGCTCATTTTATGCCAACACCCGAACTATACCAAAGCAAAAGACATACCACACAACCCACCCCAACCCACAGCTAGGTCTTGTTTTTTATTTTTATTTTTTTCTTCTGTCAAAAATTGTGATCAATAAAAAATTGACACATTAATACATTATAATAAGTATTTTTCATAATTAAATTAGTTTTTAATTTATTTTGTAACAATATTTTTTAAAACATTTCTATTGCTAATTACTTAATAAGATGTTACTATATTCGATAATGACAACTTTATTAAAGAATGGATGTAATTATCTTTATAAAAAATAAAAAATTACATAATTGACTAATGAAAAATTATTACCTAAAATATTCATCATCTATTTTTAAAAGATCCAAAATTCTAAATTTAGTAATCATTATAAACGTTTTTAATGGTTACCAAACAAATCTAAATACAGATTTTTAAAACAAAATCGTTTTTAAGAAATAAGCAATCCAAACAGGCTCTTATTAGGCATCTATTTTAGAGTTATGGTCGATTTTTGGACCAATTAATGGACGGAATAGTATTTTATGTGAAAATTTATATTAGTGTGGGATCGTTATCCAATTTGGGCCAAAAAATTTGTATTGCTAGTGCCTTTCAAAAGTTTGGGCAGTCACATTGGCCAATGGCCTCACAAAGAAAAATGATTCTTGCACCAAATAATTACAGTGAATTGTTAGATCTACTCTTTTAATTAGTCAATTATACAATATATAAGAAAGTTGAACCTTTCACTTAGTTGTATTTGATATAAATAACCAATTAAAAATCATTCGGTTAGACAATTCACTACAAGTATTCGGTGTAAGTATCATTACTCCCTCAGAAAATATTGAGCCTCTCAAGATTGTCCTGGTCTCACAAAAATACCGACTTTTAATGAAGCCTAATTCGAGTTGATCATCAAAAAATTTAAAGATTGCTACACAATGCAAGAACAATTTCAACACCTCAGCTTGAGCAAGATTTGCACAATTTTCACAAATTGACCGATTAAATAGAAATAGAAATAGCCGCTACAATTAAATTGTGGTTGTTATCTAATTGTAGAATATGAACTGAAAGTAAATAAATGTTTGTATTCAACCCATTTTGACCAGAGAATTAAGGGGTTCGTTTTTTTCCGAGAAAGAAAATTTGGTATCGTAGCAAAATTTGGTGACTCCGTGTTGTCTTGTTCCTTAACAACGGCTTTTATTTATGTGACCATTAAATAAAAACATTTTTTTTTAATTAAGTAAGAAGTAAAATAAATTATTTAATGGTTAAATAATGAGAAGTCTGCAAAATAAATATATAAATAAATAATAAATAAATAAAGAGAAATCATGACAAGAGTCATGACATCTTCTCTTAATAAGCATTACTTCAATTATAAATGACAGGTCTCCTTCACCAGCAAAGCCAATTAAAGCTTCAAGCTAACATTTTGATCAATAATCTCTTCACAATATCTGGAAGATCAACAAATTACTTTTCTGTTTGCAACACAGGAGTGGCGTATTAGTGCATTTATAGAAGCGTGAAATTATTAGGCAACTAAATTGTTGAAGCAACCTCACTTGACACATTTAAAAGGTCAATTTCGTACCCATGAAAAAACATAGAAATGCATGCAATAATTGTATTTTAAAGAACTAAAAACACTATTATGTTTGATGAGGTCGAATTGGTGCTTTCAATTTGAAATTAGAGAAAATTTAATACAAATTTTAAACTAAATTTTCTCTAATTTCAAACCCAAGAAACATAATATATGTGATTTTGAGGGTGGTATGCCAAACCTTTATCTTTTTTATTTTCTCCCTTCATTTTTTATTTTCTCTCTTCCAATTGCAATTTGTTGAATGTTTTCAAATTTTGGATTGTCTTTGGTCAAATTTATATTTTAAAATGTGAGAGAAATTCCAAGTAAAAAACTAAGCAATGAAATTCTAATTTGCTTTGTGATTTTCATTTTATTAAGCATATGAGTTCATACAATCTAAACCACCTAAATGCAAGGGCAGAGCCACAAATTTATTTCAGGGGAGCATAATGAACATAACAAATTAAATATATATATATATATATATATATATATATATATATATATATCCAATTAAACATGATAGTTGAGTGTAGCAAGACAGCAAACCAAAAATGAAAATGTAATAATAAAGATTCAAATATTATGTTATTTTTACAATAAAAAAATACTACAGTAAGGAAAAATTTAAAAATATAGTAGACGAACATTATAATATTACAATAATAAAATTAAAGAAGAAGAAGAGAAAAAAATACAGCACATACATCATATATGAGAACAAGAAAAAGAAATTTTAAAAAGAGATAGATCATATATGAGAACAAAAAAAAGAAATTTTAAAAAGAGAGTACAAAAACAAAAGGAGAAGAAGAAAAGAATAAAAAGAAAATTCAACGTCCAAAAGCAACATCAAAAATCAACATTAGGGAATTAAGAAACTCAATTGTTATATTTGATAAGATACTCCATTATTATATTTTTAATAAAGAACAGAGTATCATGGTAATTTTGCAATTTTGCCAAATGTATAAGATTATTACTCCTATATTATTTTATGGCACGTGTTTGTATGTACATGAGAGTGATAATTTTAATCTATGTTTTAGTGGAAATAAAATCAAGAAAACAGGTTCATAAGGTATTTAGTGTACTGGATGAGGTTAATATATAGTAGTATGATTTACATAAAACATTTTTTGATTAGTTGCAATGGTGGGGGTAAAATTCCAAAGATTACGTTTTCCGCTCAGGCTTTTTGGCCATTGAACTGGATTTTAAGCAATCTAATGGAAGAAAAAGGCATGAAATCACCCCAAAATTTTCAAAGATTTGTGTGACAGATTGTTGTCCAAAACACCACCTAAAATCACAAAAAGGTAAACATAGAAATTGAAATCACAGCATTCATTACCAATCTCTTCACTCAAGTTACAATACTTCACACTCACAATAACAATAGCGCAAATTATACAGATTGAAAACAAGAAGTGCCAATAACAATGCTAGATGTAATTAAGGCACAGAGATAAGAAGAAAACACACAAACACTGAAACACACACACATCACATGCATATTTCAAGCTTGATATATTTAGGACATAGCTACACATCTGAATGTGCGAGAATCATGAACCACCAGAAGCTGTAGGAAATGACCTGTAGTTTGAGGAATCAGTGTTGCCGCTATTGCCTGAATATTGGGGTTGGCCTCTTTCAGAACCACTAGCACCATTTGATGAGGAAAGAATTACTGGAAGAGGAATAAATGTGGATACTGGCATAGCTGATGGCAGGTCTGGCAATGGAGCTTTAGAATTGAGCACATCCATGACTTCCTTTATGGAAGGGCGGCTGCTATAATCTGGATGAGCACACCAAAGCCCCACAACAATCAAACGCTTCATCTGTTCCACATCATACTCTCTGCCTAATTTTGGATCGCCTGCCTCCATAAAATTTCTATTTCCATAGTGTCCCCATACCGCCTTCACCAATTCAATTACAACTTTCTTGCCTTTGGCTTCACCATGTTCAATAGCATGCTTTCCACATGCTATCTCCAAAGCGACGATCCCAAAACTGTAGATATCCGATTTCTTGGTAGCTTTTCTATTCTGATGGTATTCGGGAGCCATGTAACCCGGTGTCCCAATCAAATCCGTTGTTTGAGATTCTTTTCCGTGTTCTACGAGTCTTGCTAGCCCAAAATCCCCAAGCTTCGCATTAAAATTCGAATCTAACAAAACATTGCTCGATTTGATGTCCCGGTGCAGCACACATTGTTCACAGTCCTCCTGCATATAAACCAATGCCGATGCCAGACCTAACGCGATCCTGTACCTCTCTTCCCATTTCAACAAGCGTGTTTCTTTGAAAAGATGGAAATCCAAGCTCTTATTTGGCATGAAATCATAAACAATGAGAAGTTCCTGATCTTGATCATGACACCAACCAATGAGTTTCACCAAGTTCTTGTGCCTCAGTCTGCTAATGGCTTGAACTTCTGAGACATACTCCTTCATACCTTGCCGCGACTCTGGAATTATCTTTTTAACAGCAACACTGGATTCGGTATCACTCAAGACCCCTTTGTAAACCCGTCCAAACCCTCCCCTTCCAAGCAGCCGTTCATCTGCAAAACTATTGGTCGCGACTTCCAATTCCCAGTATGAGAAGTTCCTAGGTACTTCCACCCTTTCCAACTCCTGGCATGAGAAGTTCCTAGGTAGTACTTCCACCCTTTCCAACTCATAGTCTGCTGGCATCGGATTATTTTCAGTATTCCTTTTATTATTTCTTTCCATACGACCACTTTCAGTTTTGCTTTTATTCCTTTCCATCCAACAGCCAAACCATACCAAAGCAGGAACCACAAAACAAGCACCAACACCCAGCATGATATATATCCACAGCCAGATCTTGTTTTTCTTTCTTCCAGAGATCATATTTGTTACATTTTCAGCACTTTTCAGAGTAGAGCTGAAATCCCATGAGATAATGTTGTACGTCTCATACCCATCATTATCTGATCCAGAGGCACCAGAAAAGCCAATGGTCACCAACTCCGGTAAAAACATCTTCAAATCAACTATGTAGGAAAGGCTAGTGGAATTTGAAGTTGAACTACTTGAAGCCATTTGATCATCATTCACAAGAACACTAAGATTTTTTGAACTAGAATTATAGCTGATCCAAGCCTTAGCTCTTTGCCCGTCACTCCAAGACCATTCCACGGCCTCTACAGAACTAAGAGAGTTGACATCAATACCCACATGATCAGAGCCTTGGAAGTCCCATGGCCCAGGAGTCGAATATGTATCGAATTCAACAGCAACAAATGAAACGTTTGTGGTGTTGGTACCAACCAGACCAAGATGGCTATTTCCTGAGTTAGGAAGGAGGTGGGAGCCGAAGGGAGCGAGAAAGAAGGCAAAACCAGAGTAACCAGTGGAAGCATTTCGCGAGTTTATTAGAAAGGAAAAGTGGGTGTTGAAGTCTGCAAGATTTCCAGAGGCAATGTCCCAAAGTTTTATGGGTTCTCTGTAGGTGGCTCGACCAACGCTTGCTTTTAAATATTTTGTGAGACTGATGACTTGGTTTGACGAGTAAGCATCTCCTTCATATGAGATGTCATGCATGTTTGGATTGAAACTGTTGAATCCGAAGGTGGTGTTTTCGTGGGATAGTGGTTTTGCAAAGGGGGTGATTAGTAGGAAGAGAAAAACAGAGATCTTGGACATAGCACCAAACAGAATATATGGAGGGAAATGACGATGAGTGTGGTCGTATTTGAGAATTTCCATGGTTGATAGGGTACGTACTGAGAGAAACAGATTTGTGTTGGTGAGTGATTCAAAGCTAGGTACCTACCAGAACATATATAAGAAAGATGGTTGGTAGGTGTCCCTGTTGATCCACGAAAAACAAGTCTATCCTAGTTCAAAACCGAAATTGGCACATCACTAGTGAGAAAACCAACAAGAAAGCTTTATGGATCTTCATAAATTGGCACAGAACTTACAATGCAATCACAGATAATGAAAACAACAATTTTACTAGAGATGCCATAAAAGAATGTAACAAAATATAATGTCATTTTTTAAAAAAATTATGAAATAATATGTATTCCATTATCCTTTGTCGCGTTGGTTCAGTTTTCTAAGATCAATTTTTTATTTTTTTGAGTACTTGATAATTTTTTATATTTTATTTATTTATTTTTTTAAGTGACAAACCAAGTAAGCAGTAACTTTATGGAGATTACTTTATTTCAACTATTCAATTTGTTTGTATTCTATTGGAAGGGTATATTACTCATTTATAATGGCCATTAACCACGAGGCCCTTGCAACAAATTGGTAAGTTGAAAGGGTTTGTGCAAAAAAAAAACTTTCGTGCAAAGACTTGATAGTCAAGGGTATTTGGCTACGTCACATAAAGCTGAAGAGGGAACAAATTTGAGAGCAAAAGTGTAAAATCGACAAAATTAAATTATAAATATATCAAAAGCGAAAGCGCGTACAAAATGTGAGAGCAAAAGGGCGCACACTTTGCTAGATTTTTATTTTTCTGTTTTTCGCTTCCTATTGGTGCAAATACAAAGCACTACAATCATTAAAAGGATAATGAATATTAAGAGGAAGACTTCAACCGAAGTCGTCGGCCCATGTAACATTGTTAAGTTGAGGAACCGACGCTCTGTGTGTGCAGTCAAAAAACATGACATTCTTTCCCCATAGAAAAGCATATAAAAGACACTTACTTTTAGAAACAAAAGCTAAAAAAAAAATGGCGGGGATAAATAAAGCATACAATTATTGGAATGCAATAAGTTGACGAACGGACACTTTCTTGGTGCAGTCAGAAGTGAAACTCTTTCCCTATTAGAAAACACAGAAAAGAAAGACATTTACTTTCCCACTACTTTGCTAGGAAGCTGTATATGAATAGACTCAACGACTTGAGTAGGACTTGGCACAGTGATTGGGTTGGAGATATTAAACTAGTAAAATTATTGCATGAGCGATAGGTAAAAATCTAAGTAAATATCAGATAAGGTTGGGCTTCGTCCCCATAGAAATTGACATAAGGTTTTAATTTCCCCTTTCTTTGTTCCACTTACTAGTTTCTCACTTTTTGCTGATCTTTTTCCAAAAGTCATGACAAACAACCCACATTCATTCATACTGAGATGGCTCTCTCTCTCAATTGACAGAACATCATGTTTCTTGTTCCTGATTGGCATTAAGTTAAACAAAACACAAAGAAATCTTTAAATCTATCGATACTAATAACCCCTAATGAGGATTGCAAACTTCTTTGTTTTTTCCCTTTCATTTGACTTTTTGGCAATCGAATTGTGAGCACCTCTAGCTAACATTATTAGCAATACGGGTATAATAGATGAGTAATGCTCTTAAGAAAGCTCCCTCGTAAAAATAGTCGTAAGTTTTCCGTATCTGAATTGAGACAATTGAAATATATGAAATTTGTATCCATTGAGCAAAGACAAGTTGTATGAACCACTGTATCGGGGTTTCGAATCCCACCTCACCTACAACTGGATTAAAAGAGAAGGGTTTTCGACGCAAGAGTAGACATCATTCCCAAAAACAAAAAGACCATTTAGCTATTAGGACAAACTAGAGATGCAAGTTGAACCGGCCTAACCTAGCCCAGTCCCTATCCAACCTCAAGCCGAAGTCAGGTTGGGTTGGCCCAGCCCGATGTCAAAAAATTTGGGCTCTAATAGTAACCCGAGCCCGAATGTGTTCGGGCTGGATGGGTTGACCCCGTCAATTTTTTTTTTTTCCTTACAAACATAAAGTACGTCGTTTCTTTAAATGGAAATTTTTTTAAATGGAAGTTTTTTCACCTCATTCGTGCATAACTGCGTATAATGATTGTCTTGGATTATAGAGGTCATGGGGTCATGCATAGTATTTTAAAAAAAAAAATGTAAATTTTTTTAAATGGAAGTTTTTTCAAATTATCCAGAAAATTTTAATTTATTAATAATTTTTTAAAATTTTATCAAACTATTAGTATTGTGGTTGTGAAGTATTCAATTATTATTTTTGAGTTTTTTCAACTCTAATTTTATTTTTATTAATACCAAAAAAAAAAAAAAAAAGACTTACCTTATTTTATTTTAAATATAAAAATAAAAAACTTTTTTTTATTTGTTATTGTAGGTGTCTAAAATATGTTAACCTACACGGCCCACATAGGTTGGTCAAACAGTCAACGAACTATATCACGTCATCAACAATGATGTAATGTTTAAGTTTTTACATATATTTATGAGGGACCCACAATTTTGTTTTAAAGTGGTTATAAGACCACGTTTTTTTTTCTTATTCTCTGCTATCTCACTCTTTCCCCATTGCTTGTCTTCATCTCTGTATTTTTTTTTTCTTTTTCTTTTGCAACTTCCACTCTTGATTTCTCCTCATTTCTTGGTATTTTGAAGTGCTGTTTGCGGCAAATTGAAGCTCACAGCGAGACCTACAAGTTGATAGGAGCAATTTCTAGTTTGGTGCACTCTTTAATTTTCGAAATCTAGGGTATCAATTTGGGGTTTTTCATTGCTTTAGAGGTAGGGTCTCTAATACTCAAATTCTTGTTCCTCTGTGAGTTTCCCTACTTTAATTGTCGTCAATCATGCTAGATTTGAACTGATAATCTCTTAAATGATTTTAATTGTGTATATGAAGCATGCGATTCTGTGTATTTGTTGTTCTACATGGAAAGTATGCCTAATTGTTGATCTTCTATGTTTATTGTGTTCATTAAATTGTTAAAAATTGTTATGAAGAAGCATGCTAGTGGTGTAACATTAATTTTTTCCCAAATTTTTATGGCATTAAAAAGGCATGTAACATGCATTCAAAGCATGGGGTATGAAAGGGTGAAATGATTTGAAAAAGATGAAAAAATGGATTTTGGGGAAAATTTGATAAAATGGTTTTTTGAGAAAAACCTGGTCGCCGCGGAGTCACCAAAGGGCCGGTGTGTTAATATAGCCTAGAGGAAACTAGGAAGATTGCCCTAGCGTGGTTGAGCTATCTAAGCCCCAAATGACGCTGCGGAGGTACCAAAGGTCAGGGACAATAGCCAATCCTTCTCTCGTGTCACTACGGAGTCACCAAAGGGCGGGTTATATTAACAGTTTATGAAGTGATGATATTTTTCTGAAAATGGGGAGTGACATGCATAACATTGCATTCATGGCATGAGATTTATTTGCTTTAAACTTAGAATTGATATTGTGTTTTTTCGGCTTTGCATGACCCCAAATTCTTATTGTCCTATTCCTTGTTTGGATTCACGGGGACACAAGAGGTGTGTCTTAGGCACAACCTACTGAGCAATTTTGCTCACTCCTTTTATTTAACATTTTTTTATAGGAAACGGGAAAGAAGTGGCGGATGACATTCTACCACAGACTTAGTATGGATTAGGAGCTTATTTTGTTGTTTTAGTACTTGGGTCACTTTATTTTTGTAAGACTAAGCATAACGTATTTTGTACGATGACTTATGGACTTTAAATATTATAATTATACCTATGGGCTTGTAAAGCATAGACATGTGATCTTAATCTTGTATTTTGGGACTGTAATTATGATACTTGGATGATATAGTATGTGGTTGTACCACCATGAAATATATTAGATGTTTTTTGTGTTGAGACAGGTTAAAAATGCTTTTAAACAGGTTGTTGTAGGACGATTTTTAGCAGAGGTCATGCCGAATTTTTTTTTTTTTTTAAATTTTAGCATCAGTTAGGGTCATTACAAATTTGGTATCAGAGTCTTGGTTTGAAAACCATTAGGACGACGGGTAGAGGCCTACATAGAGGTTGCATGGAAAGTCATTTGCATAGTTTATGTGATTAATTGTTAAAGTGTTTTGCTATGTGCAAAAACATGCTTAACTGTTTACTTGTTTATATGCTTACGTGCTTATGTGCTTCTATACTTATATTAATGTGTTCATTGCATAGTCTTGCATGCTAAGTGTTAGTATAGCATCCTTTTATGTTAAATTGTTCACGATTGGACCTTAGTGTTATTGTTATTGAATCGTTTTATTTATTTTATAGAACGATGTCATAGCGTGAGGAACCCAGGGAAGTTGGCCCTAGGTCAACAAGGGGTGATGTTGGCGAGAGCTCGAGCTCCAATCCGGCGGAGCCAGTTGATGAGGACACATTTCTTCGGGATTTAATTGCCCCAAGGGTTATTCCTACAAGGAGGGATAATGTGGAAACACCCGTTGAAGAGGGTGAAAGTCCGGCGAAACTAGTATTGAATTGTTTGTTGCAGAAGGCCTTGAGGGCCACTTGTAACGACCCTAGCTGATGCCAAAATTTTTAAAAAAATTCGGCATAACCTCCCCTAAAAATGGGCCTTCAACAACCTGTCCCAATACACAAAGCACATAAAATCATCCAGCATCCCATTCATCCATTCATTATACCTCAACATAGTTCCTCTCATGGTGGAACATCCACACACCAATTAATCTAAATTATCATAATTACAGTCCCAAAATACATGGTTAAGATATAAAATCCCAGTGTTACAACGTTACATGATATAATTGCATGGAAACATATACCATAATTTCATTAGTTTCATTTACATCAAACAAAAGATAAGTTCGTTCTTAAGTTACAAGGCCATGAATACTAACTTAGTTACATTTCCACAACTACGAATATACATAGAACGGTCAAAATACAAAATAGCAAACAACCTTCTAACAACTTTCAAGCTTGAGGTGGATTGTCGTCCACCAGTTCATTTCCAAGACCTGAAAAAAATAATATAAATAGTAGGGTGAGCATAAAGCTCAGCAGGTGACACTTAAGACACACATCTTGTGTCCTTGTGAATCCAAACAAAGCATAGGCCAATGGGAAATGGGGATCATACAATGTCGGGAAATAATACAGCATAACGATTCAATCTCAAGTATATCCAATGCAATGGTATGAGATGCAATGCATGCTAGTGTCGCTCCCCATTTTCATAATCCAAAACATTGTTTCCAAACTGTTAATACAGCCCGCCCTTTGGTAGCCTCGCCGCGACACGAGAGGAGGATTGGCTAGTGTCCCTGACCCTTGGTAACCCCGCGGCGTCATTATGGGGCCCAGCTAGCTCAACCACGCTAGGGCGACTCCCTAGTTCCCTCTAGGCTATATTAACCTCGGGCTCGTTGATAACCCCGCAGCGACCGGGTTTCGCATAAAACCATTTCATCAAAAACACTTCCCTGAAATTCCCCATATTTATTTCAA